GAAAAAGCTTCACAGGTTTTATTTGGAAAATCAACTTCAGAAGATTTAAAAGAATTAGATGGAGATACTTTTTTATCTGTTTTTGAAGGTGTTCCACAAGCAACAGTCGCAAAAGAAGAAATAGAAAACGGACTTGATATTGTTGCTACTTTAGCAGAAAAAACAGGTTTCTTAAAATCAAATTCTGAAGCTCGTCGTGAATTAAAAGCTAACTCTATTTCTGTTAATAAAGAGAAAATTGGAGAAGATTTTGTTTTGACAACTGACAATTTGATTGCTGACAAATATGTTTTATTACAAAAAGGGAAAAAGAATTATTTTATTTTAATAGTAGAATAAATTCATTCTGAATAATATATTCAAAAGCCTGTATTCTATAGAATACAGGCTTTTTTATAAAATTACTTTCTTGCAATAGCGATTGAAGTGAAAATCCTTTTTCCTTAGAAAAAGATTGTAACAAAAAGCGCGCCCCGAAGGCGATGCCCAAAAAAGCAACTAAAAAAGCGTTGCTTTAATCTATTTATAACTTGAGTTAAATTTTACTAAGGAATTGCTATTCCAGGATAATTTGCTGGATATACTTTTCTTAATGTTGAATTGTATTTTGTATTGATTGCATCTACAAACATATTTGCTACAATTGCATATCCATTACCTGTTAAGTGGATTCCATCTAAAGAAAAGGCACCTCCAGAAATATAGGTAGTTGTATATGTTTGTCCATAATACTTTATTCCAGTAGATGAACTTAATTTTTGCATTTCTGAATAAGTATCAACTAACGCTATATTATAAGCAGTAGCTAACTCAGCAATTGCTGCATTGTATTTTAAGACAGCTGCTTCTGCCTTTGCTGTTTCTTTTTGAGTTAGAACATATTTATCTCCCATTGGATAACTAACTCCTACAACCGATTAATTACAGACATTGTTCTTGTGAAACCTAGCTGCAGATATAAATTACTTAATCTCGTTATCATCAAACTTTACCATCAATAGAAGAAGATGTAACAAACAATAAGTCATTTTTTGTGCTTGCCTACTTGACCATAAGTCATACCATATAAAGTAGCCGTTGCTAAACCTAATTGAGGTGTAAGCGCTGCTGTAATTTGAGCAGAAAGATCTGTTAAATCTTTATCTTTTATCACAACTGCGCTTGCAGCTGTTTTAGAAAAAGATATTTTTCTATCAGAAGCCCCTAATGCATCAAATACTTTATTTAAACCTTCATAAGTTGAATTTAACTCATCGATTAAAGGTCCAAAACTCGGATTAGCAGGAGATAATGGGGCATATGGAACAGTAGTGAAATATGGAACAGAACTTACTGAAGGTATATTTGCGATTACACCTTTAGCACCTATTGCTGTTAAAGCTTTCAATTCTTCATTAATAGAAGCCTTTACTACATTAACATTAGAAATGTCAGAACTTCCATAAGTACTAGGAACCAGATTATTTGTTTCATTATGATCAACTCCAACTCCACCACTAGTTGCATAACCTAATACATCATTATTCCCTATCCATAAAGAAAAGAAGGTTGGTTTTTGAGCAACTGCATCTTCTATAACAGACGTTGTAGCATTAGAAGCAAAACGAACAAAATAAGGATTTGCTGTAGCTGGACTTGTTAATAATCCTGCTTGATCTCCATAATTTGGAGCAATTAAATGATATGATTTAGCACCTGGAACACCCATATTTTGATATGGACCTTGAGAAGATACATTATCTAGAGCCACTAAAGCTTCTGTAGCAACTGGGCTTAATGATCCATTAACTATTTTTAATTCTAATTTACCTGGAAATCCGCATATTGTAACCCCCTCATTGTTTGGCATATAAGGAATTAAAATCTCCACCTCCAGCAGCTTCATCAAGCCAGCTAATATCATTGGATAAGATTTTCTTGACCTGATTGATTACATGCATTATCTCTATATCACTGAAGTTAATGAGTTTCTAAGGCAATATATTTTGAAAAATCAGTTCTCCTGCAGTAACTTGAATATCTTCTTATTGGATGTCAAAATCATCATTACAATAAACATCGTAAACCAGTTAATGCTGCTGAATTAAAATTTTATTTAAATGTTTATTTTTGTTATTATGTTAAGTTATAAGATATCCAACACCGAAATAATTGCTCTTAACTTAACATCTCTTGGAAAATTTTGAGTTAATATTTTAATTGTCTTTTGCCTTCTCCCTTAACATAAGAACTGAACAAATCAACATTAAAACCTGAATTAAATCTAAATCCTACCCCTGCTGAAAATGAATTTAGATTAGCACTAGGCGTTTCTGATGACCAATAAGCAGAAGGAACTGGTGATTGATCATGATAATAACCTAAACGTCCTACAATAAAATTACTAAATGTATATTCAGCACCGAAGCGAATTATCGTATTATCTTTCCAGCTTTTTTGCGATGAAGAAGTATAAAAAGTATTTGAAGCATCATTATATAAATTTATATCTAAACTTCATAACGAGTCCAATTTTGCCATTACTACATCACCCAAATAATCAATTGTGTAAAACTTTATACAGACCAAATGTGAATTCTGACGGTAGATAATAGTATTCATTTCAGTATAAATGGAACATTAGAAGCTATCCCTGAAGGCAAATTACTCCAAGTTACATCTCCTTTATTTGCTTTCGCATCTACATTAGAACGGTAAGCTAAACCTATACCTAATTTATCTGTAGGCTTAAACATTGCTCCAAAATTAAATCCTAATCCATGTGCATTTTTATCCTCTAGTTTTAATTTTATATCATTACCCGCAACAGTTTGAACCTTCTCTAATTTAGCAGTTCCATGTGTGTATATAAAACCTACACCAATACTAAACCAATCTGTAAATTTATAAGCTACAGTCGGTTGAATATTAAATGCTTTTAAATCTATATGAGTAATATTAGATTTATTTTGCCAATCATCTGGCCATGTAACTGAACTTCCAAATGGAGTTGTAACACTAACACCAATAGCCAAATCATCTAAAGGTTTATAACTAACTGCAAGGTACATTGGTGTTCCTAATTTACTATCTGTTTTAGCTTTTTGCATTGTTGTTGCATCTTGCCATTTAACGTCTGTTTGCACACCAAAACCACCTACTGCAATACTCAGTTTACTTTTAACAAAAGCTAAACCAGCTGGATTATAAAATGCCACTGAAGCATCATGTGTTTGTGTAGCAGAAGTCCCTCCTAAAGCTGCTTGACGAACACCTTGTAAAGCTACTCGGTAACCTCCTGCTAAAGCCGAAGACGCAAGACCGAATAAAGCCATGGTTAAAATTATTTTTCTCATATTTTGGTACGTTTTAATTTTATCATTTAAACAAAAATAACACTATTTATTACAATGTTATGTTAACGTTTATATTTTTTTTAACTAACTATTATAATACAAAATATAAAAATATTAGTGTAAAAAAACACTATAAATTCATTTTTTTAATTCTTCTCGCTATTATATATGCTTCAGACCAACATGCCTGAAAATAAATCCTCCTGAATAGCATCAATATTCAACACTTCACCTGCTAAATATAAATTTGGAGAATTTTTTGCAACCATTCTATTGAAATCAATCTCCTTAAGATCAACACCTCCAGCTGTTACAAATTCGTCTTTAAATGTACTTTTCCCATTAATTTGAAATTTACCTTCTGTTAATTCACTAGAAATAAAATTGATTTGTTTTTTAGAAAGATCTGCATAAACCATTTTTTCAGTTATATTACAGTAATTAAGTATACTCAACCAAAATCTTTTAGGGAAACTAAATGGATTATTTTTATGAATATTCTTTTTTGCATCATCTATTTTTTTCTTAGTCAAGAAATCAATAGTTTCTTCTTTAGATTGGTTAATAAAATTAATTTCAGTTTCAAACTTATAATTACATTCATTTAATTTTAGTGCACCCCAAGCAGACAACCTAAGAATAGCTGGCCCACTAAATCCCCAGTGAGTAATAAGTAAAGGTCCTTCTGTATTTAATTTTTGTTGATTAATTTTTACTGTTACATCATCAAAAGAAATTCCCATTAACCCTTCTATTCTAGAATCTTTACAATTGAAAGTAAATAAAGATGGAACAGGATTTACTATTTTTAAACCTAAATTCTTTAAACTCTTCCAAAATTTAGGAGTACTACCAGTTGTAACAATTACTGATTCAAAAAAATGTTTTCCTGATTTTGTAACTAATTCGTATCCGCTTTCTATTTTATTAATCTCCTGTACACCGTCTGAAAAATTAAGTTGAACTTTATTTTTTTCTACAGCATCAGTCAAAGCATTTATTATAGAAAGTGAAGAATCACTTGTAGGAAAAATTCTATTATCATCTTCTATTTTTAGCTCTACTCCTCTTTCAGAAAACCAAGCCATTGTATCTCCAGGTTGAAAAGTATAGAAAACGCTTAACAATTCTTTTTTACCTCTTGGATAATATTCTACCAAGTCTAAAGGATCAAAACAAGCATGTGTTACATTACATCTTCCACCTCCAGAAATACGAACTTTTTGTAAAGGCAAATTAGCTTGTTCAAACAAAACTGTTTGTTCTCCTAACTTTTTACCTAGATTAGCAGCAACAAAATATCCTGCTGCTCCTCCTCCTACAATTGCTATTTTTTTCACAATGCAAAGTTAGAATTTTATTTTAACTTAATTTTTAGTTAATTTACAATAAGTTATATTAAAAAAGACATCTATAAATATAGATGTCTTTTCTAATGACTTTAAGTTTTTTTATTTTATAAATTCTACATCATCAATGTTAATTCTTATTCTATTGTTTGTAGATCTCATATAAGATTCGTTAACTAACTTAACAACCACTTTATCATCTGGAGAAGAGTTAATTGGTATTTCAAATAAATTCATTTTCCCTTTTTCACCTATTTTGTATCCAACAGATTTCCAAGAAGAACCAGAATTTGTAGAAATAAAAATTTCTATTTTAATTTCTTTTTCAGAATCTGACCCTTCATCAAAATCAGTTCCTCCAAAATAAAACTTCAAAGTCTTTAAACCCTTTATAAAAAATTTTGACTGAATATAACCTTCTGTACTAGATGATCCCCTAAGACGTACAGAACCAGAACCAGAACTCTTTAAGTCTTTTGTTTCTGTTGCTGCAAAAACACCTCCATCGCTTATTGTCCATACACCAGTAGATAAAGTAATATCATTCATTGCATAACTTGTTTTTCTTGCTGATTCAAAATTTTCTAAAGAACCAATAATCTCATCCAAATCTTCTTGATAACTATC